AAAAAAAAATGTCAAGAAAACATAGATAAAGTTTTTACTCTTCATATATTTTCATAACGAAATAGTTGTATAGAATAAATAATGTAAACGAAGTAAAACATATCAACAATCATCATCATAATAAATACAATTGTTTGCAGAAAAAACTTGAAACTTTTTTTTTAAGATTGCTATTTTTCTACTGTTACAAATGAATATATAGAACTGATTTTTCCAGGGATAAATCCTTGAGAGACATACTACTTGTTGAATATACAAAAAGTGTAATTTTTTTCCGCTTTTCTATTTTTATAAGCCAATGAAAAGAATATGAAATTATTTTGTTGTTTGGTACTCTTCGTGGGTTAATTACCACATTATAAACTAATTCAAAAAGCACTTGTATAGGAGAAGATATTTGTAGAAAAAGGTTTCCAAGTTTTTTTGTAAACAACTGTAAGAAATAAATGTACTAAGATAAAAAATAGATTGAATAACCTGCTTTAGTAAAAAACAATAATCTCTACGACCGGCAGTAGATAATAAATCTCGAAGAAGAACGAGTTATCTTAGCTCCACCTACAAATAAAACGAAAAGAAAAGAAGGAAAAAGAGAAAAAGTAATTTATGGATAAGCTAATGTATTACCAATAAGCAAAGTACTTTTTCATTTAACAAAGTACCATCTAGGTACTTCGTTTTATTCAACAAAGTACCAAATAAAATGTCTTTTCAAATTTTAACGTGTCGTCGGTACTTTGTTTACTCACCTGGCACGTGCTATTAAAAATACTGATAAGAAATATAAAGATGAAGATAGATTTTGTTTTCGTATCAATGATACATTAAATTTATCATTATTAATTAATTTATTTTGTTACAGATGATTTAAGAATTAATAATAATCCATCAGTTTCTTTTAATATTTAAATATATGCACCATTTGAAGAATTAAATTGTACATTTCTATCATTATTTATTTGTGGATCATTAACTAATACAAATATTAATCTAACATTTTATTTACCAGAAAATCAACAATGAAAATGTTTTATTGAAATTCCTTATATAAATAAATATCATATGACTATTAAAGAAAATTTTTATCGAATTTGACCTATTTGATCAATTATTTATTAGAGAAGAAGAAATTGTTGCTCGATTTCTTAAAACTGATAAAAATGAAATTATTAATCGATAAATAATAGTAACATCAACTAATATTGGACAATCGGTTGATTTCGAAAAATTAAAAGAATTTTAATGAATGTCGTGATTATATTTATAATTGTACAACTAAATATGCTTCGAAATTACCAAGAAATAAAATTTTTTTTTATATCGTCGTGTGAAATTTTTTCTTTGACATTTTCATCGATATAATATGACACTTGTTAATCTTGATTTATTAACAATGAAACAAATAATAGATGAAGCAAAATCACTTTCATAAATAAATTTTCAAACAAATAATTATTCTCGTACATATCTTGTTTTATATGATCCAAATTTTTCATTCCATTTATTACATGATGATTGGATTAATGTTTCACGTGAATTAAAACAATTATTTAATAATTCAAATCCTTCATTAAGACAAGAATTTCAATCAAAAGATTATTTTATTACATGTTTATCATAGTTAATCGATATAAAATATCATGATTTTGAACAAAGTATAAATGAAACCAAATTTATTTTAACTGAAAATTTTGTTTATAAATTATTTCAAATTCGTGATCGTAAATTAACAAAATTATCTTTAATTATTGAAGATGAGAAAGATGTTGGAAGAACATTTCCTTCTCTAATTCTCTTCATTATTATTATTATTAAACTCTAATATAATCAATGCTTCAATTTATGACAATATGGCTCCACGTATATATCTATCATATTTGATATTTTAGATAAAAAAATTAATTTGTTAAATACATTTCTTAGTCGAGTAAAACTAAAACTTATGAGACTTGATAATAATGATGAAATAGATGTAGAAATTGTCAATATCTATCATCCTCATATTGAAGATGCATTTAATGAAAGTTTAATATATATTCAACCACAATCAATTATTTCAATACCCTTAGGACAAGAAATTCAAGCAAAAACAGAATTAACTGATGCTCTTTTATTAAAAGATATTCGAAATTCATTAGAAAATTTTGAATATAATAATGATATCTTACGATATTTATAGAAATCAATTCTAACTATTAGAAGTGAAAATGTAATGAATATAGCTTAAAAATTAATCATGCATTACATTACAATTAATTAATCTTTTCATTGATTGAATCTAGTTTTTATCTTCAACAATTATTTAATAATTTCTATTTACTAACTGTACAAATATCAATTGAAACATTTAATGAATATATACTTCATAGTTAAATTAAATTATTATTCTATCGTTTATCATTACACGCAGGTGTAACTAAAGAATAACTTGAACAATTTATGTTATCTATTTGTCAATTAACACGTGAACTATCTAATATTGAATAAGTTGTATTCTTTGATGAAGTTAATACAACATCATATCTTGAACTTTTTAAAGAAATGTTTATGGATCAGACATTACATGGAAATGTGATTTATCAAAAAATATTTTTTTTACTACACCTATTAATCCAAATATTATATCTAATGATGATAATATTGTTCATAGACGAGATTTTCTTGTATATCAATTACCATAAGTATTAGAAAGTTTCAAAGTATCTTATGGATCATTAGATCAAACATCATTAAAAACTTATATTGAAAAGAAAATTCTTATGCTACATGGAAATTCCAAGTATGAACGACAAATAGAAATGCTATTGGAAAAATATAATTATTAGCTTAAAAATAATTTAGAGTTTATTTTATTATTCATCGAATAAAATTATATTAAAGAACTATTTTAATGATATAAATTCTATGTTTATTTTATTGATAAAACAAAGTTTTAAGAAATAATCAAATCGAATAATGAAGATAGATTTTTTTCTATGGAAAACTCTAAATTTTAAAATATTTTCATCATCGATTAATCAAGATTCTTAACGAAGAAAAAAAACTACAGAAATCTTTGAATATTGTTACAACAGAAATATGCAGACAAGAAATATTATACAATTTTTATACGATCTTTTGAAATAGTTTATTGATAAAATTAATCAGATTAAATCATTTTCTAAATATGACTCATTATTTTTTCTTACATATAAAAATCCTTATAAACAAATCAGTGAGGGTGTGGGTATGCAAGCAAGCAAACAATTTATTCTAACTCGACTCTTCTCTATGAGACAGAATAAATCATATATTCTTGATTTATAATTTTATTGGAGAAGGGATCAATTAGTTCGGTTTTCAATTTAGTCTATTTATATAGAAGCAATATAGCTGTCTTCTTGTTTCTTTTTGTCTAATTCTACTCCTACATTTTTTCTCATTATTTTTAACGGATATATAAATTCGATTCATTTTAAACACTTATAATGCTCGACTTTAGTCGATGTGGTCTTACCACATCATATATTCAACCGACTGTTCGTTTCTTCGATTATGCACATCATTGTATGAATATGGTTTATCTTCAAAATTTGATTGAACATCATCGTTTATTTGAACACAATAAGAAAACATTTAGAAGATCATCAATTAGAACTTAAATATCTTTTTTCTATTTATTCATCATCATTATGAATAAAAATTCGATGATTAGAAAAGATTAATTAATGAAGTCAAAACTTTATTCGATAGTAGTCTTAGTGATATCGAACAATTTTGATGAATTATAGAAAACATTAAAAAAGATGATTCATGAAAAACAATAATAGTCTGTTAAATTATTAAGAACTTTCTTGATCTCAATTTAAATTTTAAAGAGTTTTAAATAAAAGTCAAATACGAAGTCAAAGACATAAATATTTAACTAGAAAATTAAATGTATTATTATAGACATAATAAAATTGAGAATAAATATTCGT